AAACACCAGAGCTATTTTAGAAGTGTGTGTTAACTAAATAGATAAAATAACAATTTCCTGCAACACCCTAAAAAGTTGTCTGTAACCAAAGTGGCCAGTATCAGCTTCATCTGTGTATAGTGGGATTTGCCTTTAAAGAACTGCATGAGTTTTGCTTGCCCTCTATTACACCCATCTTCTGTGAGAAGGCTACCCACAAGTCTCAGTGTGGTGTATGATGTTTGATATTCATTTTCCTTTCCCAAAAAGGACTTTTTAACAGTTTATGTTTTGTGCAGCAAGTAACAAGAGGCACAGTTTCAAGAAGTTGCTAAAACAGTAAGCTTATGTTATACATTTTTATTTAACGGCATTTGGAGAAGATTGTCCTTAGGGAATAAGTAGTAAGGTGTTTATCAGCTCCATGCTGAAGATACACTGAACAATCATAATTATGGAGCAATTCCTTAAGCTAGAAAAAACTTTATCTACAGTGACCCTATGGCTTCCCTTATAAAGCAGGGCCTGCCTGGACGATGTGCTTTTGCTGATCTTATAATGCCCATGTCCCTCCACTTGTGCCACCAGTTCTAGGAACACTGCATCAGGGACCAGGTATAAACAAACACTTTTAACTGCGAGTCATGTAGGTCACAGGAAAGAGCCTAAAGCCAAAAAAAAAAAAAAAAAAAGAGTGCTCCTCATCTAGGATTCTCACAGCAAAGAGGGCTCCTTTGAAAATAGCAAGCTGAGCTTCTGCACTGCTTGTTTTCCATTTGAGGCAAGTAAACACCATAGCAGGGCAGAAAGGGCTCCACTTGCATCGATCTTCTACTAATGCGTACCAGGGAACGCATATCCCTGGAAGAGGATTTCAGCGATAAACTTGCAGGAAAAGAGAAGTTTTCAAGTTTAGATAACTGGCAACAGTTCTTTCTAATCAATCTTTCTAATTATTGTCTCACTGGGGTTTCATTTAAAAAGCACTTACATATGTGTTATTAGTTTATAACACGGGGTAGTGAAAAAATGTATTCAGTAACAGTTTACAAAAGTTGGAGCTTTTGTAAATCTTTACAAGATTTATTTGTAAATCTTGGGAAAAAAGAGGACAAAGGCATTCTTTTTTTGGTCACATAGAAGTTATTTAAAATATTCTTTCTTGTGGATGAAAATGTTATGGGCTTGACTATTAACAGGGAGACCATTTAGGTAGCAATAGACAGTTTCAGACAGAGAATGGAAGAGGAGAGGGACTTTTTGTATAGATACAAACTCCTTCCTAGTTTGAATGTGATCAACTACTTCAGTAGATTTTGTTGGATTGAAATAATTTGGTGACAATAAGCAGCTGAGAATTTCACAAAAAAAGGAATAATTTAAGGCCTAAGTATGTTCTGGCATTAGATAACAGTTTGTAAAATAAAATAGGCAAAAAAAAAACCCTGTTAACCCTAGCAGTGCTCAATTTGCCTTTAATAAATATTTTTAAATTAAGAAAGTACTTTTGTAAGTATACACAATCAAAAAACACAAATTCTTGAGTTTACTGGAATGCTGTTCACAACACTGCATTAAATACCTGTACGGCAACCCACACAATAGGAATTGTGCCCCTAAAATATAGAAATCATACTTCTGAGTATTGGTCTTGTAAATACTTGCATTTATATTGTGTCTTTTCAGAGCAAAGGTAACATTTGGAATCCTAATTATACAGAGGAGCAGAATCCATGTTTATGACTTGCTATCTGGCACTGCCTGAAGTTTTTTTTTTGTTCTTTTCTAACACTAGAGATGTAATATCAATAACAAGGTTGTTGAAAGGTTTTTTTTTTTTTTTTTTTAAACAGAAGAGAGTGCAGGAGCTCCCTCTCTTATTTTTCCCTCTTCACTCTCGACTTCTTTCTTCTCCTCACCTGCCAAAGTTTCCTGTACAGGTTCTGATAATGTTTTTTGTTCTACTTCAGGTGTATGTCACTCATCTCCTCTAGAAGCTCTTTCCCCAATGACATATGCTTGAAGGAGCTTGCTCTGGTTCTTGTGCATTTGCCTTCTTTAGTGCACAACATCATTTTAAGGAAGGCCCCCACACAAAGCAAGTGGAAACACAATAAATGCAGGTTAGTGAATACCATGATCCATTCCAGAAGACAAGCTTTCAGAACGGTTAGAAAAAGGGCCAAAATATTCATGATAGCCTAGCCCATTCAGAAACAACCCTTTTTACAAAACTATAGCTGCTGCCTGTGGAAGCATCAGTCATAAATGTTGATGCCTCTGAGTATATGGCCTTGGCAACTTTGCTTTCAAAGTCCATGCAATACTTGTAAACTGATCTAGTTCTTAAGTGTTGGTTCTAAAAATGTGTGACAGTAGAATTACAGATTTTTTTTCTGAATTCTGGTAAAGAAAAAAAAAAAAAACCTCAGCAGGCTTGTGGAAGATTACCAATCACTGCTGTAAGAAAGCATTTCCCACTTCCTTTTTTATATCCAAGTGGCATAATGAGCTGTGGAACACATTTCAGTGCTTTTCCCCACATTCTTACCCTTTGGGCAAAGTGCTGAATATGACCAAAATTCCTTCCATATCTTTTTTGAGGATAAAACAGTAAGAAGAAACTAGTTTTCCTTGGATTCTCGTTACCACACTGTTGATATGAGGAGCACTCCCGCTGATGGGGGCTCCTTGGGCCCCAGGCCAGTTGGTCCAACTCCTGGGTTGGAGCCTCACCAAACCTTTGTGGCTGCCTCTCTTTTTACATCCAGTCTAAACAACACCAGCCCATGGTTAGACAAAAGCCACACAGCTCCATTCAGCACCACACTGTAGAGGGTCCTCCTCAGCCCACAGCAGTGTTCAGCAAGAATGGCCCCGCAGCAGGGACTGACTATGGCACGGGTCTGTGGTGTCACTTCTCCTTTGTCTGGGCTCACTGCTCATGTGGTCATTAGAAGGTAGGTCCTCATCAACCCCAGCGTGCGGTGGCTCTGGCCACGGTGCACGCAGGGTTTGTGAACTCTTGGGGAGCACCCTGCAGCAAGCCCCGCTTCTGTGGGCTGCACCATGTGATGTCCCGCACTTGCCTGTGGGGCTCCTGTCAGCCTGTCCCATGCCACATGCCCTCACAAACCTGCCTTCCTGGCGCGATCTCAGACCAGCCTTGTCCCTGCTGGCCTGCGCGGTGACTGGACGAGCCCGGCTCCTGCCGCGAGGCCTGCTCTGCTCCCTTTTTGAGGCACTCTGAGGTCGCTCCCCAGCGAGGACTCTGCCCTTCGGCCCGCCCCGTTCCCGCCAACCTCCCCTGGCACGCGTGGGAGCTCAGCGAGGCATTTGGCTACACATGCTCTGCTTTGCACGTGCTAGAACGGGCCCTTCCCAGGCTTTGAAGAGATGATTCTGGAAGACCAGCCAGCTCTGCTGAGCTCCTTCGCACCCTGCAGCAGCCTTTCTATGGCTCCTGCTAAGCAGATGCCTGAACAAGACAAATCTGCTCTCAAGTAGTCCAGCTTTCCAATTCTATCAGTCACCTTGCTCATTTTTCTCAAAACTTTACCTCCTGCTGCAACCACATCTGCAATCATTGTTCTGTTGTTCGTAGCACATATCACAAAACAAATGCCCTAGCTGAAGGGCTTTTTATTTTCTTTTTAATCTCAGGAGACAAGCCTTATTATTTTATACTATAATTTAACATTTCAAAGATAACAAAGATTTTAAGTTACCTACTCTGTTGAAGTCACCGGACATAAATAACATCACCTCTTTTTCAGTTACTAGAGCAGACCACCAGCTTTAATTAATATGGGAGACAAAAAATAAATAGCCAGGATAATTAATGCATATTTTAATCACAAGAAAATATTTTTGCATTTCATTTTGTTAGTACTATTCCCAAATTCATCGCACAGTTCAGAAGAGTTTTAGATTCTCATAACTTCTTTAATACAGTCCATATAGAATAGCAAAGACTTTTGTTCAGTGACAGGAACTTACATATTACATATGGTAGAGGAAGGGAGAAAGGTAGAGCAATAAGGAGGACCTGGAGACATTACTGCAAAAAAGCAGCAGTGAAAATTTACAAGCATACACCTTAAAACAGAAGCAACAAAACTCTTAGCCCATAATTGAGGCTGAAAGGGGTCAAATTATTTTCTAGAATATTCATATTATTTTCAGTTCTATCTTCAACTATAAATGCAACATAACACACTTTTCCAGGTAGCTTTCTTAACACATTTGTTTACTCCACTTCAGATTTCAGCAGATGGTACTGAAAGCTCACAGCATAAAGAGGGAAAAAACCCAAAACCAGAACAAAAACCCCACAGTTTAAAGACCCTATTAAGGCAAAACTTGATTTTAGATAAGCTACAACATAAAGCAAGCCATGCTCATTCTGCACCTACGTGTTAAGCCTATCACTCACAAATATCATCAGTTACCCATTTTACAACCCTATCTTTTTGTACAGCATCCACATTTTATGGCCCATTTGAAACAGGACTTTTACTCACCTGTCAAAATATTTACAGGCCACTTTACTTCTATCCACATAAGCTGAAAATAATGATTTTTACTACTAACATACTGCCTGAATCAATTATATTTGCTTTTTCTTATGTATATATGCACCTGGGCTTCTGTTGTAACATGAGGATAGGAAGAAGTGTTGAATCACCCACTCCCTCCAATCTGTGGGTATATCTTTAATTACTGCTACAACTGAGTCCAGTTGTATTATACCATCACCAAATTATACCATCATTGCTTACACTGATGTTTCATATTAGCTACTGCTAAATACTGCACATGTACATATACATCAAGACTATTTCTTAGTTTTCAGATGACTGATGCACTGATCTAGTACTTCAGTATAAGTACCACTAGCTCTTTTATTCAAGTGTGCCTGTGGATATCAATTGGATGAAAATTGTAGTTACTACAGTATATTAAGGTAGTTGAAATATATTTAAAACATACACCATCAGAAAAATGATCAGCAGTCTCACCTTGAAGTGATTTGCAGTGTGTATCACCTGATGTACTGGCATCTGCTGACAAAGTCTGAGCATTCTCCAAATCCTTGCCTTTGGATTTTGAGCCCAGGTTTCCAAGAACTGCCTCCTTTTCTCCACTCGAAGTATGCACAGCAGAAGATGAAGAAGTTTCACCATAGACTCGTTTCAGTACTTTCCTTATGAAGGCTGTAAAATAATAAAACTCTTTTAAGCAAAAAACACAGTGATTTAAAAAGTAGTTTAAGTCTTTCTTCACCACCTCCTTTTTTTTTTCCTCTAATTAATAGGCAGCCTTGTCCTCTACATAACAGAAGCTACATTCAGCAGTCGTTACCTCCCACAGGTACTAAAACTGAGACTAATATGGCAAAGTCCTAAACTGAGTCAAAAAAGTATTTTTGAAAAACAGAGTTCACTAACAAGGTTGCAAACACAAAGTCCTCTATCATTTAACTACAATTTGGCAGTAAACTAACACATTACCTTTAGTGATATCTAAGTATGCATACACAATCTTTAAGCTTCTTTAAAACTAGCATCAAAATGCGGGTCTCTTCCATCACAGAGACACTGCAATCAAATCACTCATTAAAATCAGTAAGTTACAGCTATTTAATCATATTTTTAAAAAGTAGGCAGGCACACATGGTAACCAAATTATTTCTACAGAAGTAGTAGCATTCTTATACGCCCCTTCTCATGACATCTGCAATCTGCGACTAGTTACTCAAATGCAAATATCACTTGATTAAAGAAAATGAAATTATGTAAATAATGTAGTATGAAACAAATTATCATAATACTAAGATATTGTATCATAAAATCAAGATATATATCATAATACCAAGATATAATAAGATTTCTTAGTAATACTAAGAAATTGGTATTTATTACAGAGTAAAGTTTTCAAAATTCTATGTGGTCAAGCAGTGGGAAGATCTGGAGGAAAAAAAAAATACTTGGAATTGGAATCACATATTAAAGTTTGACAAAAAAAAATGGGTACGTACTATACAAGTGACTTGATGATAATTCTGAGCAAGATAATTTTCCTGGAGAAGAGGGAGTACATTTTATAGTAGAGGTGGCTTCTATCGCAGCTAGCAGAAACAGATACTCGTACATGTATCGTAACACTTTTCAATAACGCCTTTCTTTCACAGCTGAAGTTTAACACTCATCCTAAAAAAAAAATCATCTTCGCTGAGCTGGGAAATCCTTGAACCACTATTGTTGCTCTACAAGTTTCAGATGCAAGACACTTGTTTTAATACTGTTCATAAAAAAAAAAAAAAGAAAAAAAAAGGAAAAAGATGGCAATTCCATCATTGGAAACCATTTGAAGCTATCACTTGATCGCTTGTGAACAGTTTTTTTCTCACCAAGAAACAGCCCTGTAAGTCTTAAAAGGAGGGAAGAATGTGTCAATGTGCTGTACTAAAAGAGGAAGAAATGTTTTCTGTATATCCAGAAAAGGCTGAATAATCTCATTTAATAAGATTTTATTTTACAGAGATCAGGATAAGTATTTCCTTATTACAAGCCCTCAGTTAGAATTCAATTCCTTAGACTACATGTCTAAGCACTAAGCTAAGCTCTTGATTAACTTTTTTTTAAAAAAGGTTATCTGTATTAAGTGAAAAGATATTTAGAAGTCTGACCACTAATGAACAGAATTAGAGACCGCAATGGCCAATTTATCTGCACCTTTCAGTACCCAAGAAAATTCCAGATTTTTGTTACCATAGGTGGAAATATTCACAAACACAAGACTCCATCTGACTTCTCAGACCTGATTCTCAAATAAACAAACAAAACAAAAACTATGTCTCTCAAAAACCCCAAATAAAAAGAGGTCAACCAGACATCTTTATCTTGGGGACTAAAGCTTTTAATTTTAACTAGATATTAAAAACGATGGGAAAAATAAAGGGTAAAGGGAGAGATTTTAGGTTCATTACTGTGTACTGTCTGCAGACAACTCTCCCATGTGTTTGTCAGATACAGTCACCTTTCTCATCCCCCTCCCTTTCTATTCTATAAACTATTTCTCACAAAAAGGGATCTTGAAAGCATCTAAAATAATTCAAAGAATCAATTTAGACTTAACTTTGATGTTTTGTATGCTAAATCTGTAAGCGATTGAAGAAACAACTGATGCAAAAGAAGTCTGTAAGGAGTTAACTGTGACTGTAGCTTTGAGCTTAGACTTCTCCACCTCATTTCCCAAATTGGGAGTTCTTTTCTTGACAGAGAAACCTTCATCCAAGAAGTTATCATTAAGATTGTAACTGGTAGCAATTTTAAAGCTAAATCTACAGACAGGAAGAAGAAATAGGCTTCTTTTGTCAACTTTCCACTGTGTCTTGATATGTTCAAAGGACAAAAATGCAACATCCTTTGCATATCAGAAGAGTTCTCCAGGTTTGTGGCCCTATTCAGCTTCATACTTTATCATCAGCATTTGATGATGAATAGTCTTCACTGTTTCCCTTGCCAAGATAGCTGAGAAATTCTGTGCCAGAAGAATCTTCTTTACCAAAATTTAGTAACGGGAGAATGGTATCTCTTTAAAGGATTACAAACTATCTTCTTGCTATCTTTCCATGTGAACCTTGGCAGTCCAGGTCCTCCTAAACTCCAAAACTTAGGAGGAAGGTCTTGTTAGACTTTTTGAGCTCTTACTACTCTATATTTCACTGATTCTCTGTTTGGACCCAGTCTTTTCAATAATCATTTGCCTTACAAAAAAGCCTGTGACAAGAGCCAAGCCTGAAGAGACACCTGTATAGAAAGCTTTTCCTAAAAGAGCCCAAATTTATTTTTTCTAGGCTTACCATTCATTCGGTGACAAGAAAAAACCCAAGAGAGACGGCCAGAGACATCCCTTTCCAGTAATCCCAATCCCATTCTGCAGGTTAACACTACTGTTCCCAGAAGAAATGATATGAACAGCAAATGTGTCCTGAATACGCATCTCCTCTTCACCAGGCTCCCCGTGAGGCTGTGAGAAAGTCAGAGCGTGCAGTTACTCTCCTCAGAGAATAGCTAGAGGAAACGCTCGTCAGCGAGCAGTGCACCAAGACAGTTAAACGACTTTTGCAAATCTCTGACTTTAAAGGAAGTTATCCAAGAGGCTGACCCTGGATCCTTTCTCCAAGTACTATTACTAACACTTCAGCATCTTAATGAGCTCTAGTAGCTCTGTAATTAAATTATTATTCAAGCACTTGTGGTGATGAAGCAGTTCTCCCAAAGCAAATGATGATTGAGATACTGATGAACCTATATAAGGAAAAAAGTTTTCTCCAAGTCTGCCAAGGAGAGGCAGTCTCATAGTTGCTACGGTGGATTTTATGGTCCCAGTTTGAATGCGATTTCTCTAGCCATCTGTTCAGATACCCACATGCAAAACCACTGCTGTCTTTTCCTTTTCTTGTTAAATACAGGTTCTACACTCACATTCATACACAACAGTACAGTTTCCATACATTCATCCCTTCCTATTCTCATACCCATGCTTGACCACAAAAGTTGAATTAATGGTCACCTTTGAAAGGTATGAATATGGAGGAAACTATTTTTTCATAAAAACCTCTCGTGCTTAGAATAAATGTAAGTGGTAATGAGGGATTTATTGCAGCAAACATGGGGTTTAACTGTCAACACCAAAGAACCACTCAGTCTTGTTGGTTAGAGGTTTCAGGCCAGGCATAGAAATAATCTGGCTGGGCTGGGGTCTTTGCCTGCAGTGTTTCACAGCTGGATCAGCACCCCTGTCAGCACGGCATGGGGATCCATGAAGAGGAGCAGTAAATCCTAATACCCATGGCAGGATGGGAATCTGCAGCACAGACCCTGGTGTGACAAGGTACCTGTTTGGAACCAGATGTATTTGAAGCCTCCTGAACAAAGCAGGAGTCGGTATATCCCAGCAGTTCACCTTCCTCAGGAAAGTGAGGCATCAGTATACCAGAGGATAGCTGAAAAACTGAACATTTTAGTCTGAAATTTTAAGCATATTTTAATCGTTAAAAACAAACAAACAAAAAAATCCCTCAGATCTGTCTGTGGCCCAGAATGTTTTCTGGAACAAGCTTGTCTGCCTGTCACTGGACAGGGAAATTAGGCTCTGTGACACATCTACCCTACCACACTCAGCGGCTCTACATGCTACAGAGCAGTACTCTGCTTTGTGTTCAAGCTACTTCTTTGAGCTAAGTTACCACTTACCATTCTTTTTAGATGATGTAGGTTGCTTTTTCCCTTAGGATTTTAATACAGCAAATGCTTAAAGACAAGTCCTAGAACATCTGCAAGTGTTGGCTAAACAGTATCACTCCTCAGAACCCTCCTTAACCTCCCGTACTGACCTGTGATACTACATAACACCAAAGACGGATGGTACCAACCACTCAGACCGTGAACGACAATTACCTCTTGAGCGGAGACATGCAGTGTAAGAGGATACAAAGAAAATCACCTGCTTCTAAAGGCAAACTTACCTTTTCCTCAAAATAAAAGGATGAGCTCTCACCATACTAGTATCACAGTTAAGGACATGCATTTATTTTTTTGCTGTTGTTTTCCAGTCAAAATAATTGAGGGAAGATCTGCACAGATTTGAATATGTAGTCTTTCAGGAGACCAATCTGAGGACCCTTTTCCACTCCTGGTAATAGACTGAGGAACAAGCATATGCTTTGAATGTGTTTGTGGAAGACTGAGTTGGGTTTTATTTTGAGCAAAGAGAAAAGAGGGATACACTAGGTGCAATCAGAATTTAAGAAAATTGCTGGATTAACATACAGGGCTAATGTGCAAGATACAAGAGAGGGAGTTCAATAACTGAATGAATAAGTTTTGAAGGATGTTCTTGAAAATCTTATTCATTTATCACAAAACTGGGTGCTCCATTCTGGAAGAGAGGGGAAAGTTGGTAAAAAAGAAAGGGTCTGAAAATGATTATATCTAGAACTGAGTCTGTAAAAGAACAGGAAAGAAGTGTGAACAGCAATAAAAGGCCTACTGCAGGGAAGCCCTGCTCTGAGGGGTACTGGGAGTGTATCCCTACTCTAAGAAGAAAACAGTCTCTTGAACTGAAAGCTGAGGAAGTGGAAGTCAGAAGGAAAGGAGACAAGCTAAGAGGTTGGGGGGCAGGCATGAAAGCAAGATGGGTGCAGCTGAAAGCAACACTCACTCTTTATGATCATTATCTCAGCACTGCTTTCAGCTGTCCTTATTTCCCCATAAAATCTGGAACAGCAGATGGTAATCCAAGAAGTTTTGTAGGGCATGGACCAGACAGGAATTACTGAAGACTTAGTTTGCTCAATCCACAGTGCACCTTAAAAAGCTACCATCATATTTTTGGCATAACTCCATTTCTCTGAGGCTCACGACTTCCAACCTACAGAAAATTAAAGATACTTTCTGATTCTGCAGGGAATGAATTCTGCAATCTGAGAAAAGATTTCCTCATAGCTACATCTGCCTCAGCCAAGACATGGTTCGGAACTCCTGGTCACAAAGTGACAACTCAAAGAAGTTGTAGTTTGCTCTAGTCTAAAGGAACATGGCCCAAGGGCCAAATTATTTTGGAGCTCTGTGTTAGCATTAAAGATTTAGTTACCATTTTAATTCAGAAAAATATGTGGACAAATTTATCCATTGCTGAATCCTAATAAAGTGAAAATTAAACTGTAAGAAAGAAGTGCTTGCTTTTCCCCTCCAGTAATCTGGCAGGATTTAAATACTACACAGATGGATTTTCTTTATATTGCAAGGTATATACTGCTGAAGCGTAAGATTGAAGATGAGAGAAGGAGTAAATTTTCTGTTATTATCAACTAAACATTGCTTATTCTGAACCTTTCTGGATTTGCCAAACCTCAGTGTGTGGATGTGGTGGCGGGTTGGGATTGCAGGTGCCACAGCTGCACTGCTGAATAGATTTAATTCAATTGAAAATTGTACAGAGAAATGAGACTTAGAATATCATGGATAATCAATTGATACAAAAAGAAGCACTGTTCAGTAATAGCATTAACAGAAGTCTCCAGTCCAAATCCTGGAATTTTAAAGAGATTCTTTGCTACTTTGCTTCAGGGAAGTTTGGCTGACGCTATCTCCATTTACAAAGTAAGCAAGCTTAAGGAGCTAAATGAAACCTTAGGGACTGTTTATGAGCATCATAAAAACTCAGGAGGAAAAAAAAAAAAAAAAAGGAATTCCTAAGTGGAAATTCATCAGCCAGAGGTGAGGAAAGACTGCTGTATTCTCATTCCTGAGAAACACTGAGTCATGACGATGTTTAAGGTCATGCATGATGCAAATGCAATCCAAGACCCCATAATATTGGGCTGAACATTCTTAGCTCAAGGTCCGAAAATACAAATTAATAAAAGAATCTAAAGAAACCTCACTGCAAACATTAACAACCTTAATCGTATATACAAGCTGGCTGAACTTAGAGTAGGTAGAGAAAAAGAGTTCTTCAGATAATCAAAAGAACGCAGAAGAACAAGATTAGCTTGGACTGCTTAGTCTAAAAAAACAAACACCAAGAGAGCTGTAAGCATAAAAAAAGTAAAAATAAGGGTAAGATTGTATCAAACCATGCCAAAAGTAAATACTGGAAACTAACAATGAATTACAATGATCAACGCCAAAACTTTCTGATGAGCATCTAGAAGTTTTACAACAATCTTCCAAGAAACAGTGAAAAAAAAAACCAAGTAGCGAGGAGTTAGTTTCACGTAGGAGACTTTCCTATCAATACTACAAAACTGCCTGCAAAGGAGAGTGCAGCAACCCAGGAACAATAAAGACACACATACACAGCTCTTGCTCATAGCATTAGGGTGAGATTTTACCCACCTTCCTCAAAGAAATTCCAATGACACCAAGTTCTCTACTTAAAGAAAAGGAGTTATGATTTGGCTTACAGTAGTGGTAAATAAGAGTTTAAAAAGCCACCAGAGAAAGACAGTCATCTATTAAAAGTCATTCTACAGTGGAGTATATAGGTCCTATTAGGTGTAAAGGAATGGTAATAAATGTAATGCATTCAGGGGGGAGGAAAAAGAAAAACAGCAGAACATTTCGGCTGAAAATTTCCAATAGTTCTATTCCTTCCTAGAGGAATGAGAGAAGCAGCTACACCTTTTTAACTGGATGTATTTGCTTGCTGCTGGCTTGTGTGTTCAGTCATTAATTAGAGGGTCAGACAGGTTGTACCAAGGCAAATCATTTATTCTCAAGAAAGTTCAGACTCTTACATTCCAGGACAACTGCCTACACAAGTTACCCCAGCTTAGACACTGAGTGATCAGAAAATACCCTTACAAATATTGCGGTCTTCTTCCACCTTGGAAGTGAATCTTTTATATAAAGATTTAAATACACTGGAACAGGAAGCTTTTCTTGCCATTCTTGAGAAGATCTTCGAGCTTTATCAGTATTTTCATGGATACCGGTCTTGCATCTCTTACAGGTGTGAAGTTCACTCAGATACAGCCATGACAAAAGAAAAGATGCTCACTGAACTTAGTAATAGAATTTTGCTTTGTAGTTCACTTGTGTTTAAGGCTGACCAACCTGAGAGCTCTTAAAATAGAACTGGTAAGGCACCATATTTAAGTGTTCTTATACCCAAGTAGACATAAGGCATTATAAAGCAGCGCTCTGTATTTCTCATATAGCAGCTGCTCAACTTTAGCTGCGTTATTTATTGAGCCAGGACTGGAATGCAGATCACCCAAATCTTCTGGAAAAGGAGGACAATTCTGTTCATAACCCGCAAAAGAGAGGCCACTCTTGAAAATTTTCTTTCTCGTCTTGGCATAATCCTGTCGTGAGTGCTGTGCGCTATATATTATGCTTGAATGTATACTATATTTGCGAGATTACAAAGCATTTTAGCTGCATTTCAAGTACACCACATGCTGTCTATAAGAAAGTTTCATTTCAATGAAGTTAGAGAGATGCAAACAGCTGGTGCACATTTCAAAAACAGAAAGAACTGCCAAGCTGCTAACTAGTCTCCATTTACGGTCTGCATGTTCTATTAAGCAGGAAGAAGAACTTGGTATCACTAGAGAGACCTCTGTGTAACTGATTCTAATTTTAAGTCTCTCAAAAATTCTCTTCTTCCTTTATCCTTTTGTACCCTTCTGTCTTTCCCATCACATGTTCACATACAGAGAGGCAAATTCCAACAAATTACTGGCTTGCTTTTTTGTTTGGGAGGGAGGGAAGCAACAAAAGGACAGATTCTCCATGAGTACATGCACATCCACATACTCTAGCCACATTCCTTGCTAACACTTACTCTGTATTTGCTAATTTTTGTCAGAATTGCTGCAAGTATTGACAAAATTAACGTTCCTTTATAAATCAAAGCAAGCATCAGCACAATCAAGCATACTGAAATTCACTTCTCTATTTCATGCAACTAAACTCAGTCTATCTGATCTTTTTTGTGGCCATTTTAACATCTTCAGAACTCATTAAAGAACGGATACAGCTCCTCGAAAAATAAGCAGATTCTAAGCAGTAGCAGTACTCAAACCACATTTAAGATAGTGGAAAAAATAAGTGTCAAAACTTCAAACACACACCCAAGCCTCAAATGTTTGGGACCTTGAGTCTGAAGTACAGGGAACTGTAAACATAAGATTAAGAATAGACCATCAGAAACAAAAAAATTTAAAAATTAAACAACAAAAAGCATGCACACACTAGTCTTGACTTTTGAAACCTAAATAGAAAACTGATTCAGAAGTGAAACAAGCTCATTTTCCCAGCAGCCACTCCGCCCGCCTCTAAGTGAAGTACTGAATGTTCCTACCCAGCAATGAAACTGAAGCAATAGCAGAACACCCATCTTTCAAGGAATTTGTTGGTGAGGAGAAGGAATCACTATTTTGAGAAGCAAGAACAGTTTGTAACAAGAACCACACCAGTTCCATATGCAGTTCTTGATAACTGTCACGTAAAAAACATGAGGAATAGACAAAGGCATCAGAAGATTAAAAAGGTACCATGTGACTACTATTTGACACAGGAGAAGCAAAGAAAAACGTTAACACAAAGAAAAAGAATACAGATCATGTGCTGGCTAGCGATTCAAACTAAATTAATATCCATTTTCTAGTACATAAATATTAAGTGAACATTACTTCCTGCACATATATAAGCACACTACCTATAATTACATGTCATGATCGGCACGGCAGGGGTTGAAAGCATTACCAAAAATTCAGTTAGGACTCCAAACTGTAAAAAGATGGCATGTTGCATAACTGAACAAATATAATTCTGATCCACATCAAAAGGGGTCCCTTCCAGTTCAATGTGGGAGGAAATAGTTTTCTCAGGAGCACTTCTGTGGGGAATACCTGCTCTTTTGGTTACTTGCCGTAAGTGCTGCACACAGCCCTGCCGTGTTTCTCAACGGGTTGCTTGTTGTCTACTCCAACACAGCATGGACGGCAAGAATAACAACTTGCTCTTCTCATTCTTTTCTGTCCTACAAACAGAAGTCCTTTCCAACAAGGAAAGAATCAGGAAATTCTTCTGAAGCCATCCCATGTTTAAGACACTTTAAAACCTTGTTCCTATAGATGCACAAAAGGAGAGATAAAGGTACAGCAGAACAGAAGAAGATGGAAAAAAACACAGAAGATGATGGAAGAAAGCACAGAAGGAATGAGACATGGAGAATATACGGGCACAGCTTCATTAAAATATTTAGCTCATCTCTATTAGTTCAGAATTACCCTCCAATATGTAAAAGCATTTAAGTCCTTGAAGTCTCCTATCTTAATTAGCACACATCTCCTATAAATATCATGTAAAGAAAATTATTATACTGGGTGGTCACAGAATCACAGTGAAGCTGAAGCTGCAAGGGATCTCTGCAGGTCACCTGGTTTAATGCCAATGCTCAAAGAAGGTTCAACTAGGGCAGGTGGCTTTTGGCTGTGTCTGGCTGAGTACAATTCCATTACCCTCTTGCTCAAACATGGCCAAACAGTCCCTCTTGATTAGGGATGCAAAAGGGAAA